TCAGCCTAGAAATCCAACGCAGGATAATTCTTACCAACAGGTGCTACTTCGGACTGAGTAGGCAATTGAGAAGCAAAGTCCTTTTTCGACAAACAAAAACCAAACTCTATAAGTCACTCATAATACCCGTCCTGCTATATGGTGCAGAGGCTTGGACGATGACAACAATTGATGAGTCGACGTTGCGAGTTTTCGAGAGAAAAGTTCTGCGAAAGATTTATGGTCTTTGCAAATTGCAGGCCACATCACTTTCGACTGTGCCCTATTGCAATTTATTTCGTATTTAAACTAATGTATCCAAGTAGGTAAATCTTTCGTTATTGTCCTACTGCATTTAGATGCAGTTATTTTTCGTTATGTCTTTATGCACCTAACTATATCTGTTGAAAAGGATCATTCGAATTGTATTTTGAATATAAGTTTTTTATTATTTATATTTTATATGTTCGTTTTTAGCGTAAGAAAACAAATTTCAAATTTGTAATGCACCAGTAGTACTTATTGAACTAATTAATAACACCTGGTGGACACATAGTTTGTGAGACCCTGCAGTCAAATCTGAAAACAGAATTTTTTATCACCCACAGATATTCTGTAACCTTCGGATTTAGATTTTACGATACATAAAATTTCACTATATTGCCTCATCGATTATAGATCGACTCTGTCTGCTTGTTTGAAGTCAACAGCGTATTTTACGATTATTTAATTTTACAAAATTTATCAATAGACTGAATCGATTACATGTTCTATGTTTGGATAGCAAAACGTTTTAGAGTTCACATTCTTTTACGTTTTTTAAATGTAATTTAATATTTTTATGCACAATGTCTAGTCAGTGCGTAAATGAATGAAATGTTTGAAGAGAACCTACCACACCATGTTACAGACTGCTATGTTTGCCTCACGAATATTAAAGGTATTGGACCGAAGTCTAAACATACGGTTAAATACCGTAATTTACCATCAGCTTTAAGACCTATCAAACACAGTGAAAAAATTCCTATTCCAAAAGCACCAGACTCTTGGTGTCGATGAAGAACTAGAATCGTCTAGCTCTTCAAGAGATGTTACAGAAACCGCAAAGGAAATGACAAGCGATCATTTATTTGATTTACCAGGATGTTCAACAGTGCCGCATCTAATTTCACAGAATGAACTTAATGACTTAGTTCGAGGTCTAAGCCTTTCAAAATCCCAGTACGAACTTTTAGCATCCAGACTAAAAGGTTGGAACCTTCTCCAAGTGATGTAAATATTACTTTTTACAGAAAAAGGCAGAGAGACCTCACAAATTGCTTTCTTCAAGAAGGGGATCTAGTATACTGTTCAGAAGTTAATCTTTTGTTTAACGAACTAGGGCAGAAGCATGATCCAAGTGATTGGCGTTTATTCATTGATTCTTTTAAAGCACATCCGTTAATTTGAATATGGTTGGACAATATGTGGAGACCTAAAAGTAATAGCCCTTCTTCTTGGAATGCAACTAGGATTTAAGAAAAATTGTTGCTTCCTTTGCGAATGGGACAGCCCTGCGAGAGACTGTCACTATGTATAGAAGCAGTGGCCAGTACATAAGGCACTCCCTCCGGGACAAAAAAACAATACCAGTAAACACCTAGTTCATCCCAAAAGGGTACAAGTATTTTCTTATTTTACAAGAAAAATTTTGTTAATGCAAAAGACACAAATGGTAGAGGGTCCTTCTATCTGAAATAAAAATTTCCAAGCGTCATTGAAGCAAAAATTGAAGAGGGCATATTTCTGGGTCTCCAAATAAGGGAACTAATAAAAGATAAAACATTTGAGGAAATACTCAATGAAACGGAAATACGAGCCTGAAGTACTTTTAAAAGCGTTGTTAAACATTTTCTTGGAAATGTGAAAGCTGACACTTACAAAGATCTTGTGTCTAAACTACTTACTGCCTATAAAAAAAAATGGGTTGCAACATGTCCTTAAAATTCACTTTCTGGACCCCCATCTGGATTTTATCCGTGAAAATTTAGGGGCGGTAAATGACAAACATAAAGAACGGTTCCACCAAAATAATTCTGCTATGGAGAAACGGTACCAAGGCTAGTGGAGTGCCAGTGTACTTTCCGATTCTGCTGGACTTTGTTAAGGGATACTTCAAAAACAAAATATCGCCGAAAAACATCGACAGTAACATTTTAAGGTACTCTTTGGTTAATAAAAAATGTATCTATCGCAATTTTTTTAAACCAAAAGCCTCATACAAAAAAACTATAGGTGATGTAATAAATCTGTAGTTATTTTCTGCATTTGTGATGATGTAAGCTTACCTGAGCTTGGGTAAATAATACTCTCCGTTTCCTCCGCTGTGTCAAGGGGAATTGTAATGGCTTTGAATCAGTTACATTACATGTGGCTAGGCTACCCATATTGGCCATATGTCCCATTGAAGTAGTCGCTGACCCACCCATTAACCTGGTAACTGCAAAATTGAAATACATACTTAAATTAAATTTTTTAGTATGAAAAAATTTAACTAAACTTATTACTTATTACAATTATTTACTCTTAAACATTATTAAGTTGGATAAAAATAATATTGGCAGAGTAAGTAGTACGAAAATATTTTTGAGCAAATAAAAAGGTTAATAGAAAAATCAACAATGCAATAAACAACAACCTAATAACAAATATAATTGTTCCAAACTCAAAACCCCTACTTTGCAAAATTTTCTCAAGTCACCTCCGAAGTAGTCGTCGCAGAGTGGCATTMGAACTCTTAGTTTCAATTAATTTTTTCATTATAACAACGATTGAGTCAGAATGTTTCTCGGTTAACCCGCAAATGAGTTAAATCCAAGAAAAATATTTCTCTCTACATCAATTAGAAACCAGGTTTATCCGGTTAAATAAAATTTAAACTTTCAATTTGCCACCACGCATTTCGCCATTAAAGTTGGTTTAATTGTCTTTATACTACATCAATAATTAACTTGAATATTATAAACTTAATTAATCTTAAAATTAATCTCAAATAATAATTTTGTGATTTACTTTTGTACGGTGATACATATGTATATGCAAACTGTTTAATTCCTTAATTTCTGGGGCTATCATGGAAATTAGCGAAATGAGAAATATTTTTGTTTTACAATTTTATCAATATAATAATTCTTTTACTTTGTTTTAGGTTCAATTTACACATCTGGTTGTTTAGTTCATATGCTTGTTCACCTCGGTCGAAATTTACTACTTATACTGTTTCGACTATTTTTTTTTCGGTGATAAATAAATAAAATAAAGTAAATGGTGCTTCAGAATCGACGATTAACAGTTAGAAATCTTACCGACATTGTTGAAATATCGGAAGAATCAATGAAAACCATTTTGAAAGATTAGAAAAGTGAAAGCACGATTGATTCCAAAACCACTAACTTTTTTAGAAAAACGCCGATGCGTTAGCGTCTGTGAAACAATTCTTACCAACTACCAGGATGTCATGAAAAATATTATTACGATAACTTTTAGATCTATGTTTACGACCCGTAAACGGCTGAATATCACCGCAAAGGGGAGCCAAAAAAACTCGTCAACAGTTTTCTTGGATTATCGAGTGTGGTGCACTCTGAATTCCTTCCGACTGGCCAAGCTGTCAACAGGGAATACAATTTGCTACTTGCGATGATGCAACGGCAATGTATTATTGATTCATTTTCGCCTGACTTAGCTTTCTGGCTACTCAGCAAACACACACGGAAAAGGTTTGGAGTCAATTGAAAAATGAATCGCAATACGCTTTGAAGGCTATTCCGAAAATTGACTTGAACGACTGGAAAAAAAACGTTAGCACAAGTGTAATAGTGCAAAGCGGGATTTTTATTTTAATAATTAAGCATTTTAAAATTATGAACAAAGTCCTACTATTTTTTGCTCATAGTAGAACATTAATTATTTCTGGTATTAAAACGGTGATTTCACCACCGTCATTGTGCAGGACATATAAATGTTAAGTTATATCAGTAAAAAACAAGTTGAAAGGTTAAACTCGAACAAGTTTCCGTTAGTTTTTCAGTTCGATAGTAAGAAGTAGTAAAAAGATCTCAGGTAAGTAATTTTATGACAAATAGTTATTTTGCTGGATAAATTAATATTTGAAAAGGGCAAAATCTTTTTCGCATGACCAAATTAATTTAATACATTAAAACTAAAATTGAATAACCTTTTTTTTTGTCTTCCCAATTAACAATCAGCTATTAAACTTGCTTGTGCTCTTCGTTTTGTATTTTTTTTAATGATCAAAATTCGTTGACTGCTATTTTATCAATGAACATAGCAAATTTACAGCGGGGACAGCAACCAGAGTAGCACTACAGTTACAATTCAATTTGTATTCGATTAAAAATTAATGTTGTAAAATAAGATTTAAATTGAAATTAGCGTAATTCATCAATTCATACCTGTGCGCAATGACGGTAATCAACCATACCAGCGTACAAACAAAAGGAGGTATTGTATGTTTGCGAAAAAGTCCTTTCAGTAAAACCTTGGATTAAAGCTACTTTCAGACACAATTTTAAACTAAACTAAATTGGTTGGCACAATAGAAAAAATAAAGCACATTATTTAAATATACATAGACTCCCTCAAAAAATTTAATAAAACTCTGTCATTTAAACCTTCAGTTTCATGGTTCCACGCAAATTAAAACCTTTAACATTTTAAATAATAATTGTAAATGTTGTGCATCTACGTATAACATATTTAAGTATATGTTTGTAGAATTGAAATATACATCTTACGCTTATATTTAATTGATATAAAGATAACTAATTATTATTTCTTTAAGAAATCCTCAGATTCTTTTTCCACGTTTCAAGCTGACGCCGGGACAAAAAATTAGCTTTAGTCAGTTGAGAATATAAATTTTAAAATGTTAAATATTGCAAAAGTCTTGGTGAATATTGTGAACAGTCAGACACGAAAACTATATGTGGCTATCTTTCGATTATCTCCATCTGCAATAACAACATCTCTTGGATGCCAAAGAGTATACATATGTGACACGTTTAATCACAATATCTCAGTTTTTACTCAAGTTCTCGCTTGCGTGAAGAAACAAACACTTGGAACTCAACTCGTCGCATCATTCGGGTCATTTATATACACTATAACTCCAGATCTATCTTAATTTGTTATAATACAAATAACTGCTAGCTGAAAACTACTGATTGCTCTCTTTTGCAACAGGAATTACATGTGAAAGCAACACATCGAGATGACTTCGTATACGAATACCTCATTAAAGTGGCATAGCCGCTACCATCACGAAGGAGAAGGAAATGTATTAGGTTGTCAAAAAAGTCTTGCGATATTTTTATTGAATTTTCAATTGTTCATAAATTTTTTTTTGATGAGTCATGCCCAGCTCTTCACCGATGCTACCTCTGCTACTATGCCGGTCTTTTTCGACCAATTAAGCGATTTTATCGCAATTTTCGACAACAGGCCTTCCGGAGCGTGGCGCATCTTCGACCACCTCTACACCAGAACGAAAACATTGAAACCATCGTTGTGCGGTGGAAATGGAAACTGTATCGAGTCCATAAACTGCACAAATTTTATTGGCGGCTTGAGATGCATTTTTGCTTTTATCGTAGAAGTACTGTAAAATAAGCCGTATTTTCCCTTTATTTCGCTCCATGTTTGCGACGCTATAACTCACGAACGACTTAAAAGAAACGATAATCCATCAAAAACGTTTTAGCGCATGAAATGAACTTTCCAAAAAGGKTTAGCATGACTCGATGCGACGAATAAAAATAGAACTATGCGCTCTCTGCGCGAAAATTCCGCAAGACTTTTTTGACAACCGAATATATTAAGCAAGAAAGGAAAGGCTAAGTTCAGGTGCAACCGACAATTTTATATTCTTATAATTAAAACCAGGGAAAAGATGGGAATCTTAGAAATTGTATGTATACATACATGTATGTAAATTCGGCATAAGATTTATTAGAAAAACGAAAGTCATTATATAAAGTACATATATGAAAGTTGAGTTAGTATCCACCCGATATTATTCATTAACTATTTTCACTTGGAGCAAAGTCAGTCGGATGTTTGATAATGGATATGATTATAAAGGAGATAGGTCAAGTTTTCGCTCATATTTATCTATTTTTGGCACAAAGATACACTGTCATGATTAAAACACGCTCTTTCAATTTCATTGAGATAACTGAAATATTGGCTGATATATCCACCATAAAGTCAGCTGGAGCTCGAAAATCTATATATTAAGTATATCGGGGATTAGGGATTTTTAGCATACACACCAACCATTGTCAGAGAAGGATTATCCCTGAATTTCAATTATATATCTCAGAAGTTGACCGATATTTTCGGTCAAAAGTCAACTATAGCTACTGGGGTCCACATATTCGGTACCTAGGGCCTTGAACACTTTTGGTTGGATTTGTAAATTTTTTTGTCAAAAGGTGCCTTACTTTATTACTTCAAAATTTTATTCCGTTATACTAATTACTTTTGAATTTGTGTACTGGAATGTGAAAGTCAAATAGAATTTTAAATTGTGTAATATTAGAAGTAGGCGTAGTGGTTGTCAGACCTTACCTATTTTTACACTGTAAAAATGATACGTACTAGATTTTGTCGAAATCGGTTTGTCGTGTCCCGAGGTATGGGATTTCAACGAAGAGTGCCAGGCCCATTGTTCAATTTTAACACCAGCTCTCATAAAGTCTACTCATATCATCCCAAGGGTAAAATTTAATGTATCTGGCATAGTCAGGATTATGGAAGTGAGAGGAGTTATCTTCCGATTTCATACATTTTCACACTATCGGTATAAGTTCATATAGTAGTCGAGCTTAGCAAATTTGGTAGTTGTAACTTTAGTTACTTGTTTACTTTGAAAGAGATGAAATGGACAAAATTCATCTTTCACAGTAGTATATAAAAAAGTTTTAGGTGAGACATTCAAACGTTAGCTGAACAAAACCATAATACTCTGTTGCAACTGGTTGCAAGAGTATAATTACTGCGACAGTTATATTTAATGGTTGTTCTATTATTAACCAGACAATCCAATTTCTAGTTCTTTTCGATAGTTCTTTTTTCTATAATGTCGTAATACCGTACTTTCCCCCAAAAAGCAATGATTTATTAGCAACGAAATCCTTTATAATCCATTTTTTTGTAAACTAAAACAAGTGGCTTCAAAAAAATTCTATATGTCATTAACTAATAATTATAATCTAACTAAAAAAAATCATATATATGGTAGTAGTAGTACACTTATTATCTACAATATGTGTCAGCCACACTAAGGCGTGGCCAGGTCCTCTAATATAAGTATAAAAAAAATATGTTGTATTACATATAGAGATATGTAAGTATTTTACTATTAAATTAAGTTAAAACTTGGTTTTTTWCACAGTTTTGTTAAATTCAATTGCAATA